AGGGTGGACTTGATCATCTACCCTATTCTGCTCTGCCCTACTCCACCCTACCTACCCCGAACTGTTCTGGTCGAATATACGATACTCGATTCCGATCCGAATCTACACTACTCTACTCCTCTATTATACGATACTCTCTATTAGGTTCAAGTCTACCAGATTCTCTTCCATTCTACCATATCCCCGACTCTGCTCTACCAGATCCTACCCTGACCTGCTCCACTGTATGATATTGTCATATATTCGACTAACCCTACTCGGCTGCGCTGTCTACCCCACTTTGCTGTACTCTACCCTACTCTACTCGAATACGCCCTGACCTAATATTATATTTCCCTGGTCTGCTCTACGCTACTCTACTCGATCAACGCTACTCTACTGCTCTACTCTGCTCTAGTATACTCGTCCACTCTTCTCTAACCTGCCCTGGTCTGATCTACTCCATTTCTGAGGTTGACGATTGTTGGACGAATGTCGAGACGCCATTGGAATAGCCATGCAGATAGGAGAAGAAAGCAATGCGGACAGGAGGAAGCTATGCGGACAGGTGTAATCAATGCGGATCGCTTGACGGCTGCTGTGGAAAAATGGGGAGCAGTGGATTACCGTTCTCTACGCATGGAGCAAGAAGTTCAACAAGCAAGCCGATCTGGAGAAACAGCGCCCCGGTCGGGGTAGACAAGGGCGGCCCACATAGCATGGCATAAGGACTTTAGAGCCGGATAGGCCCCAGGTGCAACTATGGCATAAGGGGAGGACCCTGGAGTCGGATAGGCCCCAGGAGCAACGAGAATATAGAGCAGATGGCATGCAGACCGCGGAACCAGGGACCCTTGCGGCAAGAAGGCGTGGCAATTGGAGGCTGGCTGTCCACGGCGGAGGAATGGCCCAGGGACGTGGGACCTCCTAGGGAGCCGCCCGAGCTGGCGACCTCCCAGTCCGAGTGCGGCCCAGCCGCGCCAACACAGCAGAAATGGACCCATTGGATTAGGGGCAATTGTCCCAGGTGGTCTGCCGCAATCGGCTGGCCTGCCTGCTGTGCCAATCGGCGCGGACTTGATCCCAGAATGTCGAGGCCCACGTCGTTGGCCCACCTCTGGATGTCGTTCCCACGCCGCCGAAGGTTGGCCAGGAAGTCGCTGCATTCCTCGCTCGTGTGGCGGTACGGGTTGTTGCGCGGGCGGCTGGCGTTCTCTCGCTGCGCGAGCACCTCGCACCAGGCGTGCCACCCGGCATTGTAGCTGTAGCTACCCTTCTTCTGTGGGATTATGTGGCCGCTTGACGTGCGCCTGTGACTCCTCTCCGGGCCAGGCATCCCACTCGAGGAGGGCCCTGGAAACGTTGTGCAGCCCCTGCCCGTCGGCTCTCGGGGCACGGTCGCGGCAGGTCCTGCCGGAGAGCGCCTGGGCGCCCAGCGCTGTTGGCGCCGACGCCATCGTCCCAGATCGGACGGTGGGGCCCAGTGTCGGTGCGGCGAGGGCAAGCAGTCCCGCGCGGCGTCGTCCGTCCATTCCGAGTGCCAACGTGGCACGTCCCGCGCACGGCGAGGCCGTCGGCGGGCGTCGTCCCGCCAGGCATTGCCGGACCAGCAGCTCCATGGGTCGCGCTGTGCATGCTGCAGGGCCGGGCCGGAGTCTCGGCAGTCCCATCTCGTGCGGCCGAGGCGGGGGGGCGACCTGCCCCGGCCCAGGTCCTCCGATGTCTGAGGGGGCGGGCCCTGGCGGCGGGGTGGGCTCGCGAAGCACGGGTGCACGAGGCGGGCCCGACTCCACGGAGGGCTGGTCACCATCTACGCCTGGGGACGCGCGGTGCGATGCCTCTCCGTTACTCCGGTCGGGGCCGTCGTCGCCGGGGTCTCGCGCTGCGCCCTGGGAGGCCGTGAGGGAGGATGAGCTGCTGGTCTGGGCCTGGGCGGCAGGGGACGTCAGGCTGTGCTCGGACTCCAGGTCGACTTCGCTCCCAGAGCGGGGTGGTGGAGTGCTCGAGGCAGCCGCGGGGCCCGGCGATGTAGGAGCGCCAGGGACCTAGACCGCCAGAGGTGCTGGCGTTCTGGGAGAGGCCGTCGTTGGGACCAGGATGCCAGGTGCTGGAACGCGCGAGCCCGCGGAGGCAGGGCTGAGCGAGGTGGGCTTGGGCGGGGGCGGCGGCTTGGCGAGGCTGGTGCTCGGCAAGGACGGCTGACAACTGCCCGTGGGCAGGGCAGCACTCCAGGGGCCGCCCGGCGGCGGCGGCGCGCCGGGCCGGCAGGGTGCAGTCGGCTCTGGTGGGCGAGCGGCCTTCGTAGGCGAGGGGGCCGCTGGGCTGCGCGTCCTGCCCCGCTCCTTCCCATGCCTCGACCGCTCGGCCTGGGCCGGGGCTGGCGGGGCGGGGGGCAGCGGGGCGCCTCGCGCCAGCGGCCCCTGCCCGGCCTCGGCGACGTCCACGAGGCGGAGGGAGCCGTCGAGCACCACGGCGGAGCACCCTCTTGGGGCCCTCGCCGCTCCGCGGGCGCCTGTCGCCGAGGGGGTCGATATCCAGGCCTGAGCGGTGGCCGTTGCCGCTTGCCTCCTCGGTGCGGGTCAGTGCAGCGCCGGCAGGCGCCGCCGGGCGTCCGTCCCGGTGGATGCTGGGGGGGCCCGCCGTCGGGGGGGGGGGTGATCCCCGTAGGTCCGTCGCCGGACAGATGTCCCCTGGCCAAGACTACACATGGTGCATCTCTAGTTCTTCGCAAGTTCCTCGATGTTTTGGGGGGCCACGATCCTTTCATTTCTGATTGTTCTATCCTGGGCCTCTGCCTGGCCACTGGGTGGCCAGGAACCATCAGAAACGATCACAATTAGAAATGAGCACGGTTAGAAATGAATGACGTGTAGGGGTCGTTGTGTAGGGGCTCGGGCGTTATATGGCGGTCTCTCGCCAGGTCTTCCATGTACCCACACAAACAAGCAAGCGAGCAAGCAAACAAACAAACAAGCAAACAACAAGCATACATACGAAACGACACGTCATTGCCACGTCCGAGGCCCGCTAAGCGCCCACCGAGAGCCCTCTTCCCTCGTCGTCCCAGCTTGGCTCGCTTACCACATCCGCCGCCTCATCCCCCGTCATATGCTCCCTCCTCCTACGTTAGGTTCGCTCCTCCTTGGCACGACGGCGACCACAGCGCAGGCGTTCAATGTTAAAGGCCGCCAGTAACCCAGATTCGGCCGATACTAGACGATCTGCGTTATCGGAAAGCCGCGCTCTGTCAAGGTCGAACGATGCTAGAATTCAACGCCGACGTCATCGCGACGTGAACCCTTCCGTATTATGAGTCCGCTTTGTTTTGTTTCTTTTTTGTGACACTTTCCGAAGCCAATTGGTTCCAGGGCGTTTGCAGCTAAGGTCCTCCCGCCACCGCCCGCTGACCGGCGGCCATGCCGAAGCAGATCACGGAGATCCGCCAGTTCTTGCAGATCGCGCGCCGCAAGGACGCCAAGTCGGTCAAGATCAAGAAGAACGGCACGGAGACCAAGTTCAAGATCAGGTGAGCGATGATAGAAGACGGGGTCGATGGCGCGAACACTCGCGCATGAGCAGCTTCCCGCGCGAAGGCCGCGCGGCGGCGCCCTCTTCTCCGCGCGGCGTGCCACGCTGGGGGTCCGCGCAAGCCGCGCCGTGGGGTAGCGTTGCCATCGTGTCTCCTCCTCCTCCTCCTCCTCCTCCTCCTCCTCCTCCTCCTCCTCCTCCTCCTCCTCCTCCTCCTCCTCCCCCCCCTCCTCCTCCTCCTCCTCCTCCTCCTCCGCCTCCTCCTCCTCCTCCTGATCACCCCTGGTCCCTCACGGGGCGACCTCGCTCTCGGGGGGAGGGTCCCTCTGCAAGCCTGCGAGGCCCCGTCGGTGTCCAATGGGCCGCTTGTTGTCGTCGATCAGGTGCGCAAGCTACCTGTACACGCTGATCATGTCCGACAAGAGCAAGGCCGAGAAGCTGAAGCAGTCGCTCCCGCCGTCCCTGCAGAAGAAGGACATCTGAGACCCGAGGGATCGCGAGCGCCGCGCCCGAGCCACTCTTCGTCACCTCCTCCTCCCCGTTTTCTGAATCCTCCTCCCCCCCCCCCTCCCTCCTCCTCCTCCTCCTCCTCCTCCTCCTCCTCCTCCTCCTCCTCCTCCTCCTCCTCCTCATCCTCCTCCCCCTCCCCCTTCTCTCCTCCTCCTCCTCCTCCTCCTCCTCATCCTCCTCCTCCTCGTCATCATCATCATCATCATCATCATCATCATCAGCATCATCAGCATCATCAGCATCATCAGCATTCATCAGCATCATCATCATCATCACCATCATCATCATCATCATCAGCATCATCATCATCATCATCATCCATGAACTCCGCCTTGCGGCGGCGCGCCCAGGGCGGAGGTGGGAGAGGGGGCGGGCCTTCACAGAGGCGGCGTGGCCTCTCGAGGGCCATTCGGCCTTCCTAGAAGCCCTCTGCTGCTTCGGAAGTTCGTTGCTAGCTTGGCGTTGTGCAGTCTCGCGCAGGTAGTAGCTTGAGCATGTTGCACTCGGATGCTCCTCCCTCCGTAGCATTCGAGTTGTTCTCAGCCTCGGTTGGGATCTGGGGGTGGCGGCGTGGAGCCCCCCCCCCTCCAAAAAAAGGCTTAGAATTCTTTTCATAGGGACGGAGGACTTCGAGGTCCGCCCACTCTGCCTTCCCCCTTGGGCGCGCCGCCGAGTCGAGGTTCACCTCGTCGTCATCGCCCTCAGCTCCGCCTCCTGCTGTTCGAAAACGGGGGGTTGTGAAAGTCGCACGCCTCTGGGAGGCTGTTTTCCCTGTTTCATGTCCCTCCTCATCTCTCTTCCCCTTCTCCTATACCTCTTCCTCCTCCTCATCCTCCTCCTCTTCCTTCTTCTCCGCTTCCACCTTCTCCTCCTCCTCCTCCTCCTCCTCCTCCTCCTCCTCCTCCTTCTCCTCATCCTTGATGGCGTTCGAGCTCGAGTGGCCAGAGGATGGCCCGCTGGCAGGGCTGTCGGTGACCCGCGTGATGAGCTTGCTCAGCTCTTCCTCGTGCCAGCTGACGGTGCAGTTCGTCCAGGAGGAGGCGAGGCGACGCTGGGGGCTGGACACGCAGCGGAAGGCCGCGGAGTGGCGCGCCTGGGCTCAGGCCGCGGCTACCGAGAAGGGCGGCTCGGCGGCCTACCGCTTCATCAGGCAGGTCGCGGTGGTGCCCACGGAGGTGCTCGCGGGCGTGGACGGCAGCGACGACCTGCGCATGCCCGCCGCGGGCGAGGCTGCAGTGGCGGCGCTGCTGGAGGCGTGGCAGCCGCTCTGGGTCAAGCCGTCGCGGGCAGGCGAGGCAGCGCCCGAGAACTGGGACATCCAGGAGTCGGTGCTGCCGCCGCTGGAGCTCGAGGACCTCCAGCGCGTCCTGGGCACCTACCGCGGGGGATGTGGCCTTGGGTGGGATAGGCTCCACCCGAAGCAGAGGCTGCGCCTCCCGCGGACCTACAGGCAGCGCTTCCTGGAGCTCCCCATGGCCTGGGAGCGGAAGCGTTCGCGGGAGGCGCTGTGGCAGCTGATCGTGGTGTTCATCCCCAAGGCTACTGGCGGCCAGCGGCCGATCGGCCTCACGGCCATCTGGCTGAGGGTCTGGAGCAGGCTGCGGCAGCCGCTGGCGGCCCGCTGGGAGGCCTCGCTGAAGAACCCTGCCTTCTGGGGCACGTCGGAGAGCCCGTGCGAGCGCGCGGGGGTGGTGCACAACCTCGTGGCGGCCTTCGCGCGCAGCAGAGGCCTCTCGGCGGCCACGGGCGTCACCGACCTGGCGAAGTTCTACGAGCACGTCAGCCACGAGGAGCTGCGCGTGCAGGCGGTCGCCACGGAGTTCCCGCTCGCGCTGCTGCAGTGCTACTGCGTGTCGTACCGCACGCAGCGCCGCGTGTCCTGGTGCGGCTCGGTCTCCAAGCCATTCGAGGCGAACGGCACCATCGTGGCTGGATGCAGCGGTGCGGCCGGGCTGGCCAAGCTGCTGGTGCACACCCTCTTCGTGAAGATCGTGCGGGAGAACCCTGTGGTGCGCCTGCAGAATGTCGTCGACGACGTGCTGCTGCAGGCGGTCGGTGGCAGGGCGCAGGTGGTGCAGCAGCTCCCCAGGGCCATGGCGGCCCTCACGGAGGGCCTGGTCGCCAAGGGGCTGGTCATCTCGCAGGCGAAGACGGGCTACCTGGCGAACAGCGAGGACCTCGGCGACGAGCTGGATGGCTGCTGGGCGCACGGGCCGCTGGCCCGCTGGACTGGCGCCCGCTGCCTCGGCGGCGACGCCGCTGATGGGCGCTGGAGGTGCGTGCGCGAGCAGGACGCTCGGCTTGGCCGCGCGGCGGAGGTCAGCGCGAGAGCGCGCCTGCTGCGCAGTGCAGGTGCGCAAGTGGGCCACATCCAGAGAGGCAGCCCCACGGCCACTGCCATCTGGGGCTCCGCGGTGACGGGCCTCACCTGTGGGAAGCTGCATGGCCTACGGATCGCCGCCATGCGCGCGGAAGGCAGGCTGCCCATGGGCGCCAGCGTCGGCCTGCGGCTGCGGGCGATGCGCGGCGCGGCCTACCGCGACCCCTTCGTGGTGCATGCGGTGGAGGTGGCGCGCTCCTGGGGCATGACGCTGGAGACGGGCCTGCCCAGCGCCGCGGTGGTGCAGGAGTGCTGGCTTGGGGCGCAAGGCCTGTTCGACCTTCGCCGCCCCTGGGGGCAGTGCCGCGACCCTGCGCAGGCATGCGCGCTGGCGCTGAGGCGGGTCGGCATCGAGATGGTGGCCTACAATACCGTCATAGACTGGCATGCGCGCGTCCTCTCGCTGGAGTTCTATTCGCCTGGCATGCTGGCGCAGGCGGCGCGGGAGTCGGCGCTGCTGGCCTCGGACGTGTTCGCGCTGAAGCGGCTGCGCGGGCCAGGAGCCTGGGCATGGCCAGTGCACTGGAAGGGGCTGGAGCGCCTCCTCCACGCGCGCCGCCGCCCCGAGGGGCAGGTCGACGCCGAGGCCGCTGAGGGCGCAGGCGGCCAGGAGCCTGCGCCGCCGCTGCCGCACTGGCAGGCCCGCCACAGGCGAGCGCTCGCAGCCGTCCCCGGTGGCTCCCACTGGCCGCAGGAGCGCCTCTGGAAGGAGGGCAAGGCGCGTGACGGCCTGCGCCGCCTCTGCGGTGGCCGTGGCACGCTGCGGCACAGGGCCTTCGAGTGCGAGGCCTGGCAGCTGCTGAGGCGGGATGCGTGCTCGCGGGAGCTGCTGGAGGGGCGCGGCTGGTGGCGCAGCGCGGGGACGCTGCGGCGGAGCTCTTCGCGCGGACGCGGTGCCCCGACCCCGCCCTGGCCTTCCCTGCGACGGCCGACGCCGCGCTCGCGGCCCCGCGATGGTTTGGAGTGCCGCTTGGCTCGAAGTTCGAGGGCAGGGTCTTCGTGGACGGCAGCGCCAGGTTTCCTGCGCTGCGCGGGGCCCGCCGCGCAGGCTGGGCGGTCGTGCAGCTCGGCCTCAGCGGGGAGGTCATTGGCGGGATGCACGGCATCGCCCCGCGGGCGTACGGGCCCAAGCAGGAGGCCAGGGACGGCGAGGACTACGCGTTCCACGTGCTGGCCCAGTTCTGGTGGCCGTCGGCCGATGGCTCGGGCCTCGAGGTCTTCTGCGACTGCGCGGGCACGGTCGGCTTGGCGCTCTCGCAGGGCAAGGCCCTCGCGCCACTGCAGGCGCGCCGCCACCTCTGGCAGGAGCGGTGGGCTGGGCCAGGCCCGACGGCCACGGTGCGGACGGTCAAGGCGCACAAGGAGCTCTCGGCAGCTGCCACCTGGATGGAGGAGCTCATGATCAGGGGCAACAGGGCAGCCGACCTGTGGGCCAAGCGAGGCGCGGCGCTGTGGCCGATCGACGAGGAGCAGGTGTGGTTCCTCCAGGCGTGCGCCTGGCGCGTGGAGGAGCTTGGGCGCTGGGTTGGCGAGCTGGCCGCCACCATGGTGGACCGCGAGCAGCTGGACTCAGACGGGGTCGTGGGCACGGCCGGCCTCGCCTACGACATCCCGCAGGAGGCGCTGGACGCGGCGGAGCAGGCCGACGCGGAGGTGGCGGCGCTGGCGCTCGAGGCCGACCTCGAGCACGGCCAGGCGCCTGGCGCTGCTGCTGGGGCTGCTGCTGGAGAGGCGCATGGCCAGGCGCCCGCCGCTGCCGCGGCGGCCGAGCTGGCGGAGGCGGCTGTGGCCGCTCCTGGGCTGAAGGCCGCGATTGCAGGAGCTGGTGTGGCGCGGGAGGTTCGTGGGCACTGCATCGTCGTCTCGCGCCTCGAGAATGGCGATGGGGCCGTGGCCTGGTGCATGAAGTGCGGTTGCCGATTCTGGAAGCGGCCCCCTCCTGCTGGGACAGGCCTGCTGGGCAGCTGCAAGGGGCGGCCAGCCCCTGGCGAAAGGGCGGCGGAGGCGCGGCGGCTCCTGATGCGCCTCCAGGAGCCCAAGAGCAAGGCCAGGCTCTCGGCCCCGCAGCCGCCCACGCTGGAGGAGCAGGCGCGGCTCGTGGCGGTGCTCCGCGACGGCGCAGACGGCGCGGCAGGCGCGGGCGCTCCCGCTGGAGCAGGGAGGCCGCCGCGCTGGGGGCTGCGGCCAGTCGTGGCGGACGCCTGGCAGGCGGCGGAGCTCCACGGCTTCGCCTCGCCCGCCTCAGCGGCCCGCTGGGCGAGGGCCCGAGCGGCGGCGGGCAGGGAGTCGCCCTTCGGCGACGGTGGCGCGGACTGACAGCCGCGCAGACGGCACCTGGTTTAGCCTGCCGGCAGGGCGCCAGGGGGCCGAACAAAAAAATCCTCATCCTTCCCCCGTTGGCATGGCGCTTGGCAGTGCGTTGGCATTGCGCGTGCATGTCGCAAGCATTGCGCTGGCGGGCCCTAATGGAACCCTCCACGCAAGGACTCAGATTGAAACCCTCTACCAAAAGGACTCCGGTTGAAGCCATCCACAAAAGAAGGTTTCATTCATTTTGAAACCCTACATAGAAGGATTCCATGCGAAGCCTCCATCGAAGGATGCCTACTGAAATCTATCACGCATGCTTTTTTCCCCATTGGCATTGCATTGACATCGGGTTCAGATCGCCTTGGCATTAAGTTGGCACTGCTTGGGCATTGCGTTGGCATTGCGCTGGCGAGTTCCAATAGCCCCCTTCGCATAATGGTTCCTATTGAACCCCACTCAAGAAGGATTCCGACTGAAGAATTCCACAAGGAGGGTTCATATTGAACCCACTCGAAGCCCTCCATCGAAGGAATCCGATTGAAGCCGACCATAAGCGATTTCCCCCAGACATTTCATTGGGATTGGATTGGGATTGCCATGGCATTGGTTAGGCATGACGTTGGCACTGATTTGGCCTTGCGCTGGCGAGCTTTAATGGCTCCCACCATCTAAGGATTCCTACTGAGACCTTCCACACGAAGGGTTCCTTTTGAAAGCCCCCACATGAAGGGTTAATGGCCAAACCCTCCACAGAAGGATTCCTGCCGAAACCCTCCACAGGAAGATTCCGATCGACATCCTCCGAAGAAGGATCCGTAACCAACTCATCCACATAAGGATTTCTGTTGGCATCTGCTGAAAAATTGGAATCATGTCATCGGCATTACATTGGCATTGGTTTGGTGACGGTTTGGCATCGCAGTGGTATTGCGTTGGCATCGCGATGGCAGTGCGTTGGCATTGCGATGACATTGCGCTGGCGAGTCCCAACCAAGCGCTCCACAGACGGTTCCCGATTGAATACGTCCACAAGAATGATGCCCACGGACCCCCTACAATAAGGATTCACATTGCAATCCTCCCCAGAAGGGTTCCATGCGAACCCCCCCACAGAAGAATGCCTCTTGAAATCCTCCGAAGAAGGGTCCTTCGAAGGATCCCTTGGTTGCCGACATCATCCACATAAGGGTTCTTAGAAGGATTGTGATTGAACGCTACCACAAGCAATCCACCCCCAGTGGCGTTGCATTGGCATTAAATGTGGATCGCCTTGGCGTTGGTTTGGCATTCCGTTGGCATTGCGTTGGCATTGCGCTGGCGAGTCCTAATGCCCCCCTTCGAAGAGCGGTTCCTATTGAAACCCTCCACAAGAAAGGTCCCATTTGGAATACATAACAAAGGGTTCCCCCCAATTGGCATTGCATTGGCATTGGATTGGGACCGCCTTGACATTGGTTTGGCAGTACGATGGCATTGCGTTGGCATTGCGCTGGCGAGTCTCAATGGCAGAAGGATTCCTAGTGAAACCCTCCACAGGAGGATCCCTATCGAAACCCTCCACAGAGGCATTCCTGTTGAAATCCTCGGAAGAAGAATTCGTAATGACATTGTCCACAAAGGATTCTGATTGAAATCCACCGAGCAAAAGGATTCCCCCATTGGCATTGGATTAGGCATTGCTTTGGCATTGCGCTGGCATTGCGCTAGCGAGTCCTTGTGTCTCCCGCCGCACAACGATTCCTATTGAAACCCTCCAGACATAGGATTTCTTTCAGCATCTACCACAAAGGCTCCCCCAATTGGCATTGCATTGGCACTGGATTGGGATCGCCGCGGCATTGGTTTGGCAGTGTGATGGCATTGCTTCGGCATTGCGTTGGCGAGTCCTATGGCTCCCTCCGCAGAAGGACTCCTACTGAACCCCCCACAAGAAGGATTCCTAGTGAAACCCTCCACGGGAGGATCCCTATCGAAACCCTCCACAGAGGCATTCCTATTGAAATCCTCCGAAGCAGGATTTGTAATGACACCGTCCACAAAGGATTCTGATTAAAATCCACCGAGCGAAAAGGATTCCCCCATCTACATTGCATTGACATTGGCATTGTTTGGCAATGGAGTGGTATCGCATCGGCACGCATTGGCCTGGTGCAGGAGATAGACAGAGAGAGACAAAGAGAGAGAGAGAGAACACGAGATAACGATATAACGAGATAAGCAGATTATAAGGGGATCACGGCGAACAGACAAATGGCAAATAAGAATAAAAGTTTATAAAGATGAAGGAGCGTTCCACTTGATAAAAACCATGTCAAAACAACGTGCGATTCCACAATCCCCCCGCCTCTATTTTTCCCCATGTTCCTCCTCTTTCCTCGCGATTTGTCTCGTTATGCTCATCATCGCGCTTCTTCGCCATCACTTCATTAGTGTATTATCATGGGGGACTGAAGGACTTCTCTTTGTTCTCCCCTTAGCCCCGTACCTGTCAGCTGCTCCATCCGATGTCTGATCAGCATGCGTGTCATCGTCCTCCCCCATGGGTCTCCTCATCCTCGCTGTCGTGTGTGGCACTCCCTCCGTGAATTCAAGCTGTGCGCGGCCCGCTTAGCTTCGACCGGAAGAGGTGCGCTCTCGACCCGCGGATCAAACAGGTGTGTGGCGCTCCCTCCCATGCTCTGCACTCCCCCTGGGCAGCGCCTGCACCCGGGGATGCTTCCACCTCCGGCCCGGGGCACGCGGCCGTGTGGGCGCTCTGGCTGCCGTCTGTTCTCGCCGTCGGCGCCCCGTCGCCGCCTCGTCGCCGCCCGCCGTCGGAGCCCGCGTGGGCGGCCCGGCGGCTGCGTTTCCGCCCGCCGCCCCTGCGCGGCCGCCCCGTCGCCGTCTGCGGACGGCACGGCTGCGCCCGGGGCAGACGGCACGGCAGCACACCGCGCCTGCGGCGCGCGCTCGGAGCGCCCACGGCACGGACGGCACCACACGCTCGGGGGCGGAAAAGAGGGGGGTGATGACTATCATGGCGGGGCCCATGATATTTCCCCAGATTTCATGGCGCCCCTTCTTATTTCATTACGTCCCTGGCCCCCCCCTGGGCCGCGCACATGCCGCCGGTCATGATTTGCACCCCCCCCTCTTGGACACCCCTCTCTTGGCCGCTCCCGACACGCACTGCACAGCATGCACTGGCTGCACGGCCACGCAGGCTGCGCACCATGGAGCCCGCACAGCACCGACTGCACAAAAAGTAGCTTGCACCCCACGGATCGCGGCTCGACGCTTCAGTGCTTCTCGAGGGCATGGCGTGGGCGGTAGCTTCGTGGTTTATTGCCTGAGTCGCCGAGGCTGTCATCGTGCTGCGGTGTCCGATCCCACACGTCCTCTCCTTGCAAAAAAGGTTGCAGCACCTCGATGGCACGATCTTGATGCTAGAAACGTACTGTTTGTGGCCCACGCTGGCTAACATTCCTCGTTGATGTACACTCCCACTCCGACACCTAGCTGGCCGATCGCCGGCCAATCTGGGACCCTCCCGTCCGACTTGCAAAAAACAGTGCAGTGCTCGCATGTGTGTTCAACATGGACATAGTTCAGGAGGGAAAGAAACACACAGACACAATGAATCGACGATCCCCAGGAAATATGGGAAAATATGGGAAGTGGGGGGGAAGACAGAAGCTCTAAAAATATGGGAAAATATAGGGAAGCTGTTTATTTGTGTGTATTTATTTGTGTGTCCCAGGGCCCCTTCAATAGCGTCGTCCAAGTTGCAAAATGCGCGGCAGGGATAGGGACGGGGCGCACCTCCCGCGCGAAAAGGGCCGCCATGCAGCTCTCGCCTCGGCGCCGCGCCCGCTTCTGCTCCCGAGAACCGAGCCCCCGCGGGGGCGCGGCGCACACTCTTCGCGCGCGACCTTCGTCGGCGCGCGGGCGGACGAGAACGTCGCTCTCGCCTCGGCGCGGCGCAGATCTCGCGTGAAGGTGGCGCTCCCGCCTCGGCACGGCCCCCGCGCAGGCGGGCGACACGTCGCCATCGCCCGAGCTCCGTGCGCACTTCGCTCGGAGGTGGCGTTCCCGCGCGGTGCGCGGCGCGTGGCTCGTTCGCCGAAGCGCATGAAGTCTGCAGCGGCATCGGGGCCCGAGCGACCTCCTCCTCCCCCTCCTGTTCCTCCTCATCCTCCTCCGCTTCCTCCTCCTCATCCTCTTCCTCCTCCTCCTCCTCATCCTCCTCCGCCTCCTCATCATCATCAGGATCATCGTTCCCTCCTCCTCCTCCTCCTCCGCCTCCTCCTCCTCCTCCTCCTCCTCCTCCTCCTCCTGGTACGTTTTCCCAGCCCTGTGGTAGATAAAGTTATTCCTCCTCCCTCCTTATGGTCTTCCTCTTCCTCCTGCTCATCGTTGATGGGCCTTGGGTTTACACTGGTCCTCCTCCCCCTCCTCCTCCTCCTTCTCCTCCTCATCCTCCTCCTCCTCATCATCCACCTCCTCATCCTCATCCTCATTCCCCTCTCCCTCGGCGTGTTCTTTATTATCCCTCCTCGCCCCCCTCCTCTTCTTGCTTCTCATCCTCATTCTCTTCCTCCTCCTCCTCCTCCTCCTCCTCGTCCTTCTTCTCCTCCTTATTCTCCTCCGCCTCCTCCTCCTCCCACCTCATCTCTCCACTCCTCCTCGCCAACCTCCTGTTCCTGATCCCCCTGCTCTCCCCCTCCCCTGTCTCCCTTCCCGGCCCTGCGTGGATGAGGCCGCTTCGCGCGCGCGCACGAAAGCGATGGAGCCGCTGGCGGGACCGCTTCAATGTCGGCTGAAAGTCGCGTTGATTGCTATTGTTCACAGACTGAGACGTGTCTTCCTCGTCGTCGTCAGTATGCTGATCTTTCCTCCTCCTCCTCCCCCTCTTCTCGCCCCATCCTTTTCTGTTTTTGTTTGCGGAGGCTCCTCTTTGGAAAACCGTTCGGAGACTTCACGAAAGTTTTGAAGGATTTCTTGGGGTTTTCTGGCGGCCTCTTGGGCACTTTCTAGGGGCCTCTGGGGGCTTTCTCGATCCATCCTGCTTCCACCCGCGGCGTCCCTGAACGACAAGGTCACGATTTCGATTGCTTCGGGGGGCGTTTGGGGCCATCTCGGGCAGTCATGGGGCTCTCTTCGGGCCATCTTGGAACCATGTTGTGCCGTCTTGGGGTTTTCCTGGACTGCCTGAAAGCCCTTCCGGCTAGTTTTGGATCGATTTTCGGGCCCCTTGGGCTGCCGGGAGACCGAAGAACAGAGCATTCCCAAAATCATACAAAAACAATGTGAAATCAATGTTTCTCTGCGTTTCGAAAGCTTCTTGGGGGTCTTCCTTGGGTCGTCTTCGGACGCTTGCTGGCTTTTTGGGCCCTCGGGGGGCCGTTCGGCCGCCCTCCTGGCCAATTGGGCCCGATGCCTAGGCCCAGCAGGGGCTTCCAGGAGCTCCGGGAGCTTGGGGGGCCTCTTGCAAGGGCGCCCAGGGGACCCCCAGGGCCATAGATCCGGGGGTCCGGTTTTGGGGGGGGGGGGTCCCCTGGGCTCGCAAAAGCATGGGAAGATAAAGATTGCGCCATACGTGTCGCAACACGCAGATTGCATCACAGGCAGAGAGGCCACAAAAGCCGCACAGCGAGGATGCAAAGACTGACTGCTTGGGGCCCCTCGCTGGCAACAGCATGCTACTGTCGCTGCTGCTGCTGCTCTGCCAGTCTTCGGCCCAGGGACGGCGTAGATGCCAGCTGGCGTTGAGCTGCAGCTCTAGTTCAGCATGCGCACTGTGCGCCTGTAGCTGCAGAGTGTGCGTGTCACGTGTCAAGCGTTGCTGATCGGCGAGTCGCGTCCCCCACCCCCCCGGAGAAAGACAGGATCGGCGTATTCGCCTTGCTGGTCGAGCCAGAGAGCCAGAGACCTGCGCGGCTGCGCGAGATGGGGTGGGGGGGCCGCCGCCGCGCAGGCGCCGAGAGCGCAGAGCTCGTCAAGCTGCGCCGTGGGGACCTGCTCGAGGACGAGGCGCTGCTGAGAGAGGCGCCGGATGGTCGTCGTGGTCGTCGTCTTCGTCGCTCGCTCCTGCGCGGGATAAGGACGACGCCAGGCGAACGCCCACAGGCACCAGGCTGTGGCGGCGCTTCCAGCTCCTCCTCCTCCTCCCCCTCCCCCCTCCCTCCTCATCATCATTTCCCCCTCATCATCCTCATCCTCCTCTTCCCCCTCCGTCGCCCGTTTGGTTCAAGATGCTTTCCTGGGGGCCGAGCAGCTCCCAGACAGATTGAGCACCGCTGTTCCGCGGAAGCTTACGTTGATTTCACGGGATCAGGACCTCGTCGCCCAGGCTACGACGGTACAGGCCACTTCTCTCGACGTATTGTCACTCTTCTGGGGCACTGTCAGAAGCGGGCATTCAACTTCCGCATCGAACGCAACGACGGGAAGTGCATCAAGTGCGAAAACCAGGTGGCGTTGCACAAGCAATCCACCTCGAAGGGCTCCAAGCCAAAGGGGCGCCGTTGAGGAACTGGAAAGAGCGACCCTCTGTGGCGCAGGGACAGCGAGCTGCCGCCGGCGACAACCAAGGAGATCGACCTGGCGTTGCAGCTCCTACTGTTCCAGTGTCCTGGTACGTCTGGCGAGCTGGAAGCTCTCAGGGTCAAGATCGCGGAGCATGCCCAGCCCCCGCGACGGGAGACATCGGTGTCCAGGCAGGCCTAGTCCACCGCGAAGACCCTCGAGCGCGAGCAGGCAGTTTCAGTGCGCGCGGCAGGGGCAGCACTCCGGGCGGAGGCACAGCTCATCGGGGCGAGAAAGCTGCACATGAATGCGACGCAGGAGGCCATCTTGGGCAAGTCTGCTCATGAGAAGGAAGCCCTCGCGCTCTCAAGGTCTGATGGGGCCTCACAGGCCTCCACGGGAGCTACACGTCCGACGGTAAGAATATCATGTACGCAGCCGACCTCACCATCTTCACCGACGGGCTCGAGGAGCTTGACGATGAGCAGCGGAAGATCCTTATGGGGCACCGCCAGACCATTGAGAGTTAATGGGGAGATATGTTGGCGGAGGAGGCCAAGCCCCGCGAGCTCCGCAAGCAGGTGCTCGAAGTCTCATCGACCCCGAGGGCTCCCAGGCGCACGCGGGTCCGCGGAGTTGCGGGCAAGCGGGAAGCCTTGCGTCGCAGGATCTGAGGAGACGGAAGCTCAAGACGAGGCCATGGGGACCCAGCCCGCGGCAGCAACGACTGCGGGGATGCCCGTGCTCGAGGACGGCGCTCTCGTCGACCTGGCGATCCGCCAGGCCGAGCTCCAGGAATCGACCGAGGCCGCGCACAGCCGCTTCCCGCCGGCCGTCGGGGGTGCCGCTTGGGGCGAGCAAGAGCAGGCGCTGCCCCTGCCGCCGTGGCTCCCGCCGGCAGCCCTTCGGCAGCGGGTGGAGGAGCGTCGAGGGCTCAGCCAGCGCATGGCATCGCAGGACGGAGGCGAGCTTGCTGAGTCAGACCGTCGTGGAAGGCGAGCACCCGGGGGCGGAGACTCAGCAGATCATGTTTGCGCAGGTGGACGACGCATCCACGGCCGCGAGGTTCAGGATTGCGTGCCGGACGGTGACAGGCAAATTCGCAGATTGCCATGTTCCCGCATCAGGTCTGAGGTTTTTTGGGCCCGGGGAGGGCGGACCGACCGCGACAGCTGTACTATTTCCGCAGGAGTGTGCGGGGGCAGATTCTCCTGGGCTCCGTTGCGTCAGCCTGGGGTCTGTTGCTTCTTGGCATGCTCTCTTGCTGTCGGCGCGGCGGCCTTGCCGCGCGTCGTCAAAATCATTGTGGACGAAGCCCTCCTCCTCCTCCTCCTTCTCCTCCTCCTCATGCGCCTCCTTGCCATACTGTTCATCCTACTATTGGTTCCCCCTTTCACGGGGTTGAAAGCCTCAAGCGAAGAGCCAGGAGGTGAAGGGGGAGCTGGAGGTGGGCGGAAAGGAGGAGGAGGGGACTCAAGAGGACTCAAGCATGAGCGACAGCAGAAGTCGAGACAACGATCATCAACCGAAACGACTCGACGACGCCGACGCCCCGCCCCCGCCCTCCCCGCGGCTGTCCTGCGTGGTCAGCACGGGCTGAGGCTGCTCGAGGCGGGCGAGCTCGGCGTCGAGAACGAAACGGGGCGGGCCCCCTGGATGCGGGTACCGCCCCTCCTGAGTTCACTTTAGGTTACGTTTCCCTTTCTCACTGAGGAAACACCACCCACCCACAAGCCATCTGGGGTCGCACGCCGCAGTCTTCCCGCAGACGCTGAAAACTGTGAGGCCGAGACGCCCCCAAGACTGAAAACGGTGGCAGGGGTGGAGGGGCTGTCCTCCGATCTCCCGAGGCCCCTCGAGCGGCACGCTTCCAGCCCCCCCGGGGCCCGGCTCGGCAGCACGTAAAGAGCGGTAGGTGTGGTCGAGCCTCTCTTCTCGAAACGGGAGCACAACAAACAAACGAATTTGGGACCGATCTTCCGCCAGTGGGGGAAAAACACACACAAACACAAAAATACACGTGGGGGAAAAAAAAATACACACAACAAACACGTGTGTGTTTGTTTGTGTGTTTCCCCCACGTGTGTTTTTTTTGTGTGTTGTTTTTCTTTGTGCGGGTGGCCCCGCGGGCCGCTCGGGCCGCGCGCGCGCCCACGGGCCGGCCTGGACCGACTCCTCCAGAGAGCTCCACGCGCCCTCCGTCGGACGAGGGAAGCCTCGCCTCGGCGTCTCGGCGGCCCGCCCCTGAAACGAACCCTGCTTTGAATTCACACTCCAACTGCCTCT